AGTAATTGTTAGTGGGATTAGTTGTGATAGTCAAAACTGTAATTGTAGAAGATGTATAACTAAAACGGAAGAGAAGCTATCTTTCATTTCAAGAACAATCTCAGTACCATCATTAAGGACTAACATGTGTGGCACCTGGGATCCCTGCCTGGCAAAGCAGTCACTGCAGAGGTGGTGGCATGGAGAAACAGAACAGCTGTGGACTCTAGATCTGGGGACTGAGTAAGGCTCTGTGTCTATGGACAGAAGGTTGGCTTGCAGTATGTGGACATTTAAATGAATATATATATATATTTTTGTTTAATATTGTGTGCATCAAATATTTTTACGCTGTTCATGTGACATATAAGATGTCAATGGGGCCAGTGCATTTTTGGTTCTACATGTTCCAGTTATATCATGTGAAGCAAAGTTATAACTTTATCATTTTCTTTATTTAGAGAACATACATATAGTTTTTATTGTGTCAAGTTGAAAAGGGTGCATGTAATAGTTTAGGTTCTGTGTCAACTTGACTAGGGACTTGAAACTCTATAATTGTAAGCCATTTCTTTGATAATAAACTTTTCATTATACATACATATAGGAGCTCTGGTAGCGTAGTGGTTACGAATCAGGCTGCGAATCTCACGGTCAGCAGTTCAAAACTACCAGCTGTTTCACAGGAGAAAGATGAGGCATTCTGTTCCCATAAAGATTTACAGCCTCGGAAACCCTGTACAGGGTCACTATGAGTTGGAACTGACTCTACGCACATAACAACAACACATATACATATATACATGTGTTTCAATGGTTTTGTTTCTCTAGAAAACCCAGTCTAAGATGTTCCAGCAAACACTTAGCCTTTGTACAGGTTCCTCATAAGCACAGTTAAACGTTCTGGAATATTCATTCTTCACAATGTTATCCATTGTTTGTCATGATCTACATTCTCAAAGGCCTTTGCACAGTCAACACTGCACAAGTAAACATCTTTCTGCTGTTTTCTGCTTCCAGTCAAGTCAGCAATGGTATCCCTAGTTATATATCCTCTTCTGAATCTGGCTTGAATTTCTGGCAGTTCTTTGTTGATGTACTGCTGCAACCATTTTTGAAATATCTTCCACCAGATTTTACTTGCATGTGATATCAGTGACATTGTTTGATGATTTTCACATTCCATTGGGTCACCTCTCTTTGGAATGGGCAAAGATATGGATCTCTTCCAATCAGTTAGCCAGGTAGCTGTCTTCCAAATTTCCTGACATAGATAAGTGAGGGCCTCAGATTGGGTATCAGTTTGTTGAACTACTTCAATTCATATTCCATCAATGCCTGGAGCCATGTTTTTTCCTCAGTTATTTGAGTGCAGCTTGGACTTCTTTCAGTTTCATTGATTGTTGGTCATATGCTACCTCTTGAAATGTTTGAGCATGTACTATTTCTTTTTTGGTACAGTGACTGTATTATTTGCATCTTCTTTTGTTGCTTTCTGCATCATTCAATATTTTGCCCATGTTGTTGTTGTTGTTAAGTGCCGTCGAGTTGGCTCTGACTCATAGAGACCCTGTAGAGGGTTTCCCAGCAGTGAGTGGTGAGTTTGAACCACTGACCTTGTGTTTCAAATTGATCTTATGGTCAAGTGCTTATCCTAAGGTGGTACGCCAGAGTTCCAAGTCCTTCAATATTGTAACCCTAGGCTTGAACTTCTTAAGTTCTTTCAGTTTGAGAACTGCTGAGCATGTTCTTCCCTTTTGGTTTTCTAACTTCAGGTGCTTTGGACATTTAATTTTAATATTTGAATTTGTCTTCTCGAGCTGCCCTTTGAAATTTCTGTTCAGCTCTTTTACTTCCTCATTTCTACCATTCGCTTTAGCCTCTCTACACTCAAGAGCAAGTTTCAGAATCTTTTCTGGCATCCAATTTAGTCTTTTCTTTCTTTCCTGTCTTTTTAAAGACACTTTTCTTTGTCATCACACAACTTTACTGCTGTTTTGTTTTTAATGTCTAATGTATCAATTCTGTTCTTGAGGTGGTCTCTAAATTCAGGTGGGATCTATTGAAGGTCACATTTTGGCTCTTGTGGAGTTATTTTCATTTCTTCAGTAGTATAAATCTAGCAAGTCACATGATACTCTGTGCTTCTCTCATTCAGAAAACATAAGTAGGGAGACCTTGAGGTAGAAAGCAGCGTTGAAATGGTACAAGTTCTACAAAGCACCCTCTGGTGGCCAGAATGGGCAAGGGCGGAAACTCAAAGCCTTTTGGCTTGGTCTGGGAAGATACTTGAAATCGCCATTTTGTTTTCACATTTATGTTCAGAAAGCTTGCTTTGAATTTTCCTTTCCTCTCAATTCTGGATCCATCATGGGAAGGTAAAACATTTTCCTTTACCAAGTTGATCCAGTAACTCTAATCAGTGGAACTCCTCCCTCCCCACCGCCCCCCCCACGCCCACCGCCTTCTCTGCTTGAAAGGAGGTAAATGCCGGAAGATATCATGGTACTTCCATTCAGAATGGTAATAATACATTGAAATATGCAAGAAAGAATAATGAAATATAGGGATATAAAAAGGGAGGCACACTTTTTTCCCCTCTGTTTGAAATGTCAAAATTTCACAGACTCCTTATTATACTGATATTTATTGTTGTTAAGTGTCATCGAGTCGGTACTGACCCACAGTGGCATGTATAGGGTTTTCGAGGAGGAGGCTAGTGAGTTTAAACCGTCAACCTTGCAATTCAAACTGACCTTGCTGCAGAGTGCTTATCCTACCGGGCCACACCAGGACTGGTAGTTATAGGACCATTCAAGTACCAGTCTGTTTCTTTATAATCAACTTTTTAAAGTGTGTTGTTGCTGTTGTTAAGTGCCGTCGAGTCGGTTCCGACCCATAGCGACTCTGTATAGGGTTTCCGAAGAATAACTGGTGAGCTTGAACCAACAACCTTGCAGTTCAAACAGCTTTGCAGTCTGGCACATTAACCCACAGCGAGCGCCACAGCAGGACTCCTTAAAAGTGTGTACTTACGGTTCAAAAGAGAGAAAAAAAGAATATGGAAAGGAGCCTAAAACTTGGCTCAAAGAACAAACAACAAATGTTTACTGAGCACCTACTCAGAAAAGCACTATGGCTTAGAGATTGAGCCAAAAGATGTTCATCTCTAGTCCTCAACCTAATAGCTGTGTAATCTTCAGAAAGTACTTAGCCTCTCTGTGCCTTGTTTTCTGAAAATTAGGAATGATGGTAACAAAACTACTGTTAAACACAGGATTCCTGTGAAAGGTAAAATGAGTTAATACGTGTGAAGCCATTATATCAACCCTCGGTTGTAGAAGGTATTCAATGTCTGGTTATTTTTTTGTTTGCTTCTTTGTGCTTTACTGGCCAGAAATTAAAGCACAAAATAATTATTTCGTTTTACTATGGTTTCCCACAGTACACTTTAAGACTAATTAAAGAAAGCTGATTTCAATAAGGAGTTAATGAACAATAATACATCATCCCCGAACTGATTTTTTAAAGTGCGCAACTGTGTTATACAGAAAGCTAGCGCTTCGGGAGAAACGTGATAAATAGATGAAGTTCCCCTGAAGCTTGAATAGGTGGCAAAGGTGTTCAGAATGAGAGAGTGCAGGAAAACAAGAGCTAAACTGTGAAGTTGATGAGGAGACATCAGAAATCCCTGTGCCAGGGTGAGCTAGCCCCAGGGTCTAACCATCAAGTCATCACCAACATTTTAATTCTACTGGTACCTGTGCCCACATTTATAATGGGGAACCCAGAAACAAAACAGAAAACAACTCTCAAGTTAATTTTCTACATATTTTACAGACAATACTATTTGACAATATTTTAAAAAACAGTTACAGCACCCTTTTATGACTCCATGGTTAGTGTTTTAAATTTTTGAAATGTAAAGGTCAAATTCTTTGTGTATTTTCCCTAAGCTGTGTTGATATTGTTAACACTTATGTAGTGAAAGACTGGCTTTCAAAGTAATGATTACGAGTAGAAACATAAACAAAATTTTACGTCTTTGGAATAGATTGAATGCAGCAAGTTTCAGGGTTCAACCAAACAGAGCATCTTTATTTTTTTTTAACTTGGGGACCTTTCTCTCTTCTGTTTTAACATTTCTCTTCCCCTCTGCCCCAGTGTCTCTTGGAGCCTGTTACCGGATAGCATGTAGGTTTGTGTGATTGGTTTACTTGTCCCTAGGTTTAGGTGAGAAAGTCAAACAGCTGGGTTGATTTCCTCCAAATAAGCTCTCAACAAGGTTGTTTTCCTAAGCACTATTTCTTAGTGCTTCACAGAAAGAGATCAGCAGATGCAATTTGCTGTGTGCTGGGGAACCACTGCCCTCTCCAGACCTCCTGACCTCAGTGGCCAAGGCTGTGTGTCCAAGTGAACTCTGTTGTACAGGCTCTGGAGAGCCACTGTGCGTTGTGGAAATGACAGAAGGAAAGGATCTATTTGGACACTGGGACTGTCTGTCTCTCTGTCTGTCCGTCCTGGTGTCTTTCTGACTCTCTGGATCAGACAGGTGCCACTTCGGGAAATCCTTCTTCAGGGAGCTGGCAGGACCCCGGAGTGCTGGCCCGGCGTGCTCCTGCGGGGCCCGCCCTCTTTCCAGCTGATTCTCTTCTTTGAGTCCATTGAGACCTGGCTGGCTTCCCCTTGCGCGTTGCCAGGCGTGTAATTGGGGGAACTCTTCCCTTGCCGGGACGACCCCGCAGGCGAACCTGAAGGAACTGTTGCAGCGGCGCACGCAGCTCCTGGATTGGAGCCCTGGTTCCGCGGTGGTTTGATCCTGGCTCTGAGTGCAGCGAGCAGGTGGCCCGCGCCAGGGCTGCTTCGGGAAGGGTGGCTGCACCACACCTGCCACGCAGAGCACTACCGCCGGCCGTCGGGGGCGTGGACTGAGCCGTGGCCTCAGATCTGTCACTAGGCATCCGCCAGCCGCGCACGACGAGGCCAGTGCTTCCGGGGCCTCGGCACCCCGCCTGGAGCTCTACGCACCATGGCCTCGAAGCAACTGCTGCTGCTCTGCCTCTTCTCGGGCTTGCGAGCGCGGTAAGTGGCGCTGGGGCGGGTGGTGGCCTGGAGGAGGGCTGGGGATGCTCCCTGCCGTTGGGTCTCCCCGAGGCATAGGCTGGGCCCTGGCACTCAACCTGTCCCACCTTCCCGGGCTCACCGGCTCCTTCCCTGGCTGGGCGTCTGCAGTCTTCTAGGCACACAGTATTTGGAGGACTTGGAGATTAATGGACTGTTCTCATAAAGCTTCCAGCAGTTTTAAGAGGTTTTGGAAAATAACAGTATCAGGGAGCCAAGATGTCTAACTCATTATCTTACCTTGGGGCACCCACCCATAGATCCACGTTCTCCACCATGTCCACGACTCTGATATGTCCCAAGACCCAGAGTATAGCTTTCTAATGTCCAGTTTAGATCAGATTGATACAGAGCAACTGACTAGAGGAAGGTAGAAGAAGGCTGTTGTCTGTGGAAAGCCTGGCTTTTCTGAAAGGACTCCCTTCCCTAGGTAAACCTCTCGCTCACTCGCGCACTCACTCACTCATAAACACACACACACCTTCTAGATTATACACATAACATACACATCTGCCTGGATAAAGCTAGCATGTCAGGGTTGATAATGTAAAAAAAAAAAAAAAAAATCTCAACATACATGCCCACTTTAACCCTTCTTTTTGTTAAGTGATGCTTAGTATCAGAGAAAGAGATGAAGAGTGCTTTTGAGGACAGAGGAGATTAGGAAGGGAAGGGAAGGGTTAAGCCTGTTGCTGTTAATGTAACTAGAGATTTTTTTTTCCCCCTCTCTAATTCTGTCTCCCAGGCAGGATCTCTGGCTCAGAGCTTGCAGAACTGATTTCTGATTTTGAAATCAGAGCAGTCCTTCTTGTAGGAATTTTGATGCACCTTCCCACCCCAAACATGTGTTTTCACACTTTTCCAGCCTCTGGGAGTTAGACAACCAGAGAGCAGGTATTAGAAAGTATTTCCTGGAATCCCCATATTTCGGTAATATTTGTGTGAATTATGAAAGAACTAGGAAGATTTGTTCATCCATCTCACAAAGCCTGAAAGGGTCCCAGTTTTTACTTCTCACCTTTGACCTGATGTAAGCCATGAGGAGGAAAGTCCTGGTGCTCAACGCCAAATCTCTTGTCTTTGCCCAATTTAGAGTATAAAACACAGAATGAGTCATGAAAGGCAAGATGCCACTCTTGACTCACGGGCAGTGTTCTCAGTGAGACAGCCAGCATGGTGGACCTTTCAGCCAAAGTTCATTCCTAAGGAGAAAGCTGTGAATGGAAATGGGAGGCTGCTTCTACCTGCATTAGGCTGAGAGGCAGGCTGGTAGCATTAGTAGATCATATAGATCACGAGTCATGACTAGAATGGAAGTCATTTGTTTCACAGCCTTTGTATTGCCAGCTACTGTGATGTGACTCTCAAGTAGCTCAGGGGTAGGGAATTCATTTTGAAAGAAAAACTGCCTACTGTCCTCATAACATTATGCATTTTTAGTAAGATAATCTTAACACCAGACTTGAATTAGTCAGGTTTTTCAGGATTCACAAATACAAATACAAATCAAATCTCTTGGGAATTTTATCCTTCCACCCTGCCAAGGGAAACATTTATGATTTTAATATGATCTGTATCTAGTTTAGCTCCTTAGTCTTCATAATTGAGATTACATGGCAGTTGAAAAATAATCCATACTTTAGACTAATTTTATTACTCTGGTTTATCCTTTCAAAGTGTCTGTGTTCTTTGGATGTGCAAAATAAGTTGATGCCCAGCTTCATCTTTCAAAACCATTTTTAATTCTGAGAGACTTCCTCATTTGCACTGAGAGATGCCTTTCTGGTGTTGAAATTCCCTGGAAAGCTTCTGACAGCTGTGCTCTGTGTTGATGATTTGTCAATTCCTTGGGGGGAAATATCCCCATTCTGACATACATGGGTGAGATTATTATATCTTAAAAACACTATGCTGTACCTGAGACCTTGGTGACACCTTGAAAAGTCCCTCTGCTTTCTGAGGATTAAGGGCTTTTTTGATGTTTAAAAATACTTAAGACTTTTTTTTGCTGCTCTTCCCCAGGCAGAGGAAGGTATAAGACATCAAAATCATATCTGATGGTTGAGTAGTTGTTGAAAATATATCCCTTATTAAGTTTTAAGAAAAAGCTAATTGCAATGATGGTGTTTTAGGACCCAATAATCCAAGTAATAAAAATGCTCATAAAGATTATAAATAAACCCACTTAAAATTCAGAAAAAAAAGGTACATTATTCTTTAATTCACATTACAGTGGGTCCCCTGAGGTGAGATTCCATTTTCACCAAATTAGGGATGTTCTGATGGGTTGTTGGTCTGACACTAGCAATGTGAGGTTTCTCTTCATTTTCTGGAGCCCTGTAGGTAGCTGCCGTAGGGCTCTGCGTCTGGAGGATCCCAGTGCTGGCTTCTCTGTGGGGCCAAAAGCACAAGTACACACACCCTGCCCACTCTCCCTTCAGAGTTACGGAGTTATACCCATCATAACTCCTGACAAGGGGAAGAGAATTGCTCCTGCTCTTTCTTTCTTCTCACCTTACTCCGCCCTGTCATGACCTTGCTTTAGGAAAGAAGCTTATACAATTTCAGGAAAACCCTCTCATCAAAACTTTGTTGTTAGGTGCTATCAGATAGGTTCCAACTCATAGCCAGCCACCCTGTGCACAACAGAATGAAACCTTGTTTGACTTGTGCGGTTTCACCAATGTTACATTTCAGAGACCATTCTTATTGCAACTGTCAATCCATCTCATTGGGGCTCTTCCCCTTTTTTTGCTGACTCTCCACTTTACCAAGCACCATGCCCTTCTTCTGGGACTGAACCCCCCTGACAATATGGCTAAAGGACAAGAGATGAAGTCTTGTCATTCTGGCTTCTAAGGAACATTCTGGTTGTACTTTTATTAAAATGCTTAACTTTGTCCATTGAAGTTTTCTATTCAACTTTTTTACTTCACTATTTCTTCCAGTTACTTTCACTTCTCTTCTCTCAAGACCAGGTTTCATAGTCTCTTCTGATACCTATTTAGGACTTTTCTTTCTCTCCAGTCTTTTTAATGACCTTTTGCTTTCTTCTGTATGATGTTTCTGATGTCATCCCACAACTCCTCCACTCTTTGGTCATAAGTGTCTAATGTGCCAATCCTGTTCTTGAGATATCCCACCTGAATTTAGAGAGCATCTCAAGAACAGGTCTGATGCATTAGACACTAATGAGCCCTGGTGTGACGCTGTAGGTAGGATAAGTACAGGACCACAAGGTCAGTTTGAACCACAAGGTTGGCGTTTCTAACTCACCAGCTGCTCCTCAGAAACCCTATTGTTGTTAAGTGCCATCGAGTAGGTTCTGGCCCATAATGACCCTGTATAGGGTTTCCAAGGAGCTGCTGGTGAGCTTGAACCACCAACCTTGCTGATCAAACTGACTTTGCAGTCCAGTGCACTAACCCATAGGGCCACACCAGGACAGGGTTACTATGGGTCGGAACCAACTCCGTGGCACTTACAACAAAACAACATACTCAAAGTTATATATTGGCTCTTGTAGACTTGTTTGAATTTTCTTCAGCTTCAGCCTGAACTTGCATGTGTACAATTGATGGTCTATTCCAGTGAACAACCTAGCCTAGTTTTGGCTAATGATATTGAGCTTCTCCACTGTCTCTGCCCACCAATGTAGTAAATTTGATTCCTGTATATTCCATCAGGTGAGGTCAGTGTGTTTAGTCACTTTTCTATGTTGTTTTTAAAAGGTATTTACAATGAAGAAGTCATTGGCCTTGCAAAATTCTATCATGCGTTCTCCAGAACCATTTCTATCATCAAGGCCGTATTTTCCAACTACTGAGCCTTCCTTTTTGTTTCCAACTTTTGTATTCCAAACACCAGCAATTATCAGCGCATCTTGGTTGCATGTTTGATCAATTTCAAACTGGAGGAGTTGGTAGAATTCGTCAGTTTCATCCTCAGTGGCTTTAGTGGATGGTGCGTAAATTTCAATAATAGTGGTATTGACTGGTCTTAGTTGTAGGCATTTGCATAGCATCCTCTCACAGACAGTTTGTTCTTCAGTATAGATGTTGAAATGCTCTCTTTTATTTAAAAAATGTTTTATTGTGAATTATGTGATAGTTTACATGGGAGAACATTTGATTTACATTCATCCTATTGTATTTCGTCACATTGCTATGGTTACAATCCCCTCCATACATCATCAACCAACCAAAGTGTACACCCTGCCCCCTTGTCATCAGCTTACAGCCCCTCTCCCTCTCTGGGTCTAGAGTTCCCAGCCACTCCATCTGTCCACGTCATTGTCTCTGCCTCCATCTCTGGCTTCACTGTTTCTCTGGTTAGGGTCCCGCACTTTGCACTTGTCCCTTGATGGTCCCAAGGACATCCGCTCCTGGACTGCAAAGCCAACTACTCCCCTCCTTTTGCTACAAAACATCTACCTTTACATTTCCAACCCTCACAGTCAGTCCTGATAGTAATTATTCACTATTGTACCACATGAGTGCTATCCCCATCTCCTTTCATCAGTCCCGCCCCCAAAAAATGCTCTTTTTGATAATGAATATAAACCCATTCCTCGTGAATTTGTTATTCTTTGCACAGTAAACAATATGATTGTAAGATTCAAAATAGCCAATATCAGTCCATTTCAGCTGACTAGTGCCCAGGATATTAATCTTTATATGTTCCATTTCATTTTTGACAACTTTCAGTTTTCCTAGATTCATATTTCTTACAGTCCATGTTCTAATTATTAATTAATGTTTGCAGCTGTTCCTTCTCATTTTGAGTTTTGTCCCATCAACAAATGAAAGTCCTGTAAACTTTGCTCCATTCACATCATTACAGTGAACTCTGCTTTGAGGAGGCAGAGCTTCAGTTGTTATCTGAATGCCTTCCAACCTGATGGGCTCACCTGCTGGCACTATGTCTGGCAATGTTGGCGCTGCTGTTCATAAGACAGTCTGCCTCTCCTTCTTTCCAGTCTGCCTTATTCTGGAAGCTTCGCTAAAACCTCTCCACCATCGATTACCCTGCTATTATTTTAAATGCTGGAGGCATAGCTTCCAGAATCATAGTAACACGCAAGCAATCACAGTATGACAAACTGACAGACGAGTGGGAGCTTATCTACATAGATCCACAGATTTCAGTCATCATAAGAAACACAGAAGTTGGAATCTATGAGCCCCAATGATTGTTTTCTGCCTTCAATTGCAAATGAAATTTTGCCAATAAAGTGTGAAACTGCACCAACTAGTTCCCTTCTGACAGCACCTTGGCCTTCAAAAGTTCTCAACGTAGATCCCAGGATGGATGACTGCCCATTTGCTGACCTTATGGCATCTTTTTTTGTCCGTCAGAATGCCTGTTGTTTAAGTTGACCTTAGCGTCATCATTTACTTAATGGCATTTAATGGAAAACAAAACCTGACCTCCAACATGCTGTGCTCTGAGCAGTAGCATTTTTCCTACTGAGTGTTCTTAAACTTTTTATTTTCTTCTTTTTATAAGTAATATATACAATTGAAAAGTCTTAGGACATTCTACCCAAGCTGGGCTTTCTTTCTATCCAACAGAGTGTTATATACTGCATGAATGGGACAAATGTATGACATTTCTGGATCTAGGGTCACAACGTCTAAACCACATTTTTGTGCCTTAATTACAGGGCTAGAAAGATGGAAGAGGATGAATATGAAGATTCATCATCAAATAAAAAGTGGGTCTTGGCCCCCAAATCCCAGGACACAGATGTGACACTTATCCTTAACAAATTGCTTAGAGAATATGATAAAAAGTTGAGGCCAGATATTGGAAGTGAGTATATTTTTTTTTGTTATTCCAGTAAACATATGCTACGATAATATGTTTTAGGTTTCTATATGAAATACAGAATCACAAGAAGCTGTAAAGATATTACAGAGAAATAGTCTATATTTGTATGTTGTTGTTGTTGTTGTTAAGTGCCGTCGAGTCGGTTTCGACCCATAGCGACCTTGAATAGGGCTTCCGAGGCTGTAAATCTTTACGGGAGCAGATCGCCTCATCTTTCTCCCGTGGAGCAGCTGGTAGTTTCGAACTGCTGACCTTCCAGTTCGCAGCCCGATTCATAACCACTACGCTACCAGAGCTCCTTCTATATTTGTATAGATATGCTTATATTATACTTTGTAGTGATAGTACAACATGAAGTATTGGTACAATGTGCTTGTATAGTTCTATGCCATTTTATCCCATGTAGATGTGTGTAATAGCACTACAATAAAAATAGCTAACATCCCATCCCCACCGACCTCCCATCTGATAACCCCTTCAAATCACACTCACCTCCCTTCCCAAACAACCCCAATCCCAAGAAACCATGAATCTGTTCTCCACTTATATATGTTTGTCATTTTGAGAACGTTATGCATGGAATCAGTAGTGCCATGGCTGCATACGATAAGCACTGGACTGTGCACAACAAGGTCCGCAGTTCGAACCTGCCAGCCGCTCCATGGGAAAAAGAGGAAGCTTTCTGTTTACGCAAAGATTTAGGACAAAAAGCCCTGGAAATACTCATAGGGTCACTATGAGTCAGAACCATCTAGAAGGCACTTAACAACTACAACAACATACATGGAATCATTTAGTATGGGACTTTTTGAGACTGGCCCTCCTCTCCCCCCAGCCCTACTCATCAAAATGATTCTGAGATCCTTGTATGTACTGCTGTGCATAGCAATAGTTTATTTCTTTTCATTGCATGTATCGCTGCACAAATTAATAGTTTGTGGCTTTTAATTGTATAGTGTTCCATGGTATCGTTTATTTAACCATTTACCTGTTGAAGAGCCTTTTAGCTATTTCCAGTATTTGACCAGTATAAATAAAATTACTGTGAATATATATATGGAACCCTGGTGGTGAATATATATATGGAACCCTGGTGAGGCACTGTAGGATAAACAATGGACTTCTAACCAAAAGGTTGAGAACCCTTAACCATATATATGTACATGTATATGTATATATAATGTATATATGTGTATTATGTGTATATGTATATATGTGTGTGTGTATATATGTATGTGAATGTATATATGTGTGTGTATGTATATGTATATATGTGTGTGTATGTATATGTGTATATACACACATACATACACATATATACATATACATACATACATACACACACACACATATATACATACATATATGTGTGGTGCTGTGGGTTAATGCGCCAGACAGCAAAGCCGCTCACCAGTCACTCATAGGAAACCCTGTACAGGGTCGCTATGGGTCAGAACCAACT